GCTGTACCTGAATCTTTCTCAGGGCTTAGCTCAAAAAAGATAACAGCACACATCATTTTCTTTATGTTTGTTACACTGTAGACCCCATAAAAGATCTTCCCTAAAGCAAGCCATAAATTAATCGATTTTCACCTGTGGTGGAAGGAAAGAAAATTGCTCCATTCCCCCATCAACACTCACTGCTATGCCTCCCGTGTCGCTTTTTGTTCTGCCAATGAAGGGAGGGGGAGTGTGCGGGGAGCCTTCCCAGCCACAATGATTACTGCTAGCGGTTATAGCCGCGGGCAGTAACCGCATGCTAAAAATCGTAAGGCTGGTTGTACCCAAGACAGTCGATGGATCGACTTGGATACAATCAGCCTGCCCATAGTTAGATCAAATCTTGGCCAGTCCCTGTGTGTCTGCACATAATGCATAAACTAAGGCCTCATCCCTACAGATGAAGCCTTACCTACTTGTCTTCTTGGTTTACTTATAATTGTCTGACATCTGATCAGGCTTTAATTAAAAAACACCCAATTCCAATTGTCTGCCAAAGAGTTTATACAGAGGAAATGGTGCTAATATACAATTTGATCTTACCCCATGCATTGCGGAACATACAGAACCAAAGCCAAGATTATTGTTATTATTATACAGGATTTATATAGCGCCAACCAGGGGCGGACTGACAACTCATGGGGCCCCCCGGGCAATAGGGGATCATACTGCTTTTAATATCTGGAAGAAAACCACCTTAAAGTAGTCATAAACACCAAAGGTGTTTTTACCTTAATTCATTTTCTTAAGGTAAAAAATCATCCAATACCTGCCCCCCAAAAGCTTACTTGAGTCCTCTATCAATCCAGCACTGTCCCTGACTACAGCTTTTCTCCCCTCTCTTTCTGCTCTCACAGGAGGCTCATATTTTAGTGAGAGCAATAGGCCCCTGCTGCTGTCAGTCAAACCTGTGTGGAAAGAGGGGGGGAGGGGCTAAATCATGCTGTGTATGTCTATGGACGCACACAGCCCCACCTGGGAGCACTCCTTCACACACAGTTTGTGATAGGGACACTCATAGAAAAGGAGAAGGGGAAAGCACCAGTGGGAGACTGAAAAGAACAGTTAAGGGACCACTCTGTGCAATACCCTTGCAAAGAGCAGTAAGTAAAACATGCTTATTATTTTAATTTAACATTTTTTAGACTTTAATATAACTTAAAGCTAAGTTTAGACATGCAGCAGAGGTATTTGACAGGCATTAAGGAGCAGTATTTCACTTCTGCCTGTTTTAACTTCTTCCTGTCTGGCCCATACCGATAAATGGCCAGATGGGAGAATTGACAATGCAGGTGGACGTTTCTAAATGTCCCCCCCCCCCACATTCACTAATTGTACACGCTCCCTGGGAGCACCCGGCACCGTGATCTGTGCCCGCTGTGTCCATCGCTGTTCAGGGCCGCTGTGTGAGGTCCCAATTCATGTGATCACTGATTGGCCAATTAGTGACCACATGAACAGTAGAAAACAAGATGTCACTTCCTGACATCATTATTTACTGCTTGTGAATTCTGTGAATGATCACAGAAGTCACATGGTACAATGTACTGAGTTCATCGATCAGGATTTTGCCATTTACCTTGTATATAACTCTTGACCACTGATTTATGTGTAGCGCTACCCCTGAAGGAGCCACTTGAATGTTTTTCATGGGCTTGTTGTGCTGAAGTTTAGATGGTGCTTACCACTTGACCTCTGTAAGGTCTTACCCCCTTCATAACAAGAGAAGTTTTTACTATTCAGCACTGTGCTACTTTAACTGACAATTGTGCGGTCATGCAACACTGTACTTGCATATCATCATCTATATAATTGTTTCACACAAATAGAGCTTTCTTTTGGTGGTATTTGATCACCACTGGGTTTTTTATTTTTTATTATATAAACGCGTAAAAAAACCCAACATTTAAAAAAAAACCCATTATTTTCTATTTTCTGTTATAAAACATATCATAGATCGCTGAGAGGCTGAGGCAGTTGCTGACCTATGGATCTGGGTGGATACTTACTTTAATGTCGGGATCTTTCCCCAGTCTGGACCAGCTGAGTGATGTCAGCCGCCAGTGGACTTTAGCCCGCTGTCGGCTGAAAAGATCAGATCACAACTGGAGAAGTGCAAAACGAGCTTTAGCTGTACTTCTTCTTTAATTGTTCTTCAGCCAAACACTGTATTTGGACTAGTTTCACCTTGCAAGTTGTCCTTTTTGCACTGTATTTTTTACTGCAAAAGGCAGCACTGTCTTGGGAAAGGGACATGTTTCTGCAAATCTTTTCTTTGGGAGTAAATTAATTAATAATGAGAACTGTAACTAAAAAAAGTAAACATTTATTTCCTACTGTGAATCTAATGTTGAAAAAGAAACATTTTTGCAAGTGTAATGTTCTGAAAAAATTAGAGACTAAGGCTTCATGCATACTGGCTTAAAAATAAACGCCTGTGCTCTTGGCAGAAAAAAACGCTTATTCTGAGCGTATTTAAGAGCATTTAACTGTTTCAAAGTCAGGATGTCATTGCAATTTGAGGTACGATTTGCAAGACATCTGACACAGATGTCTATTCAAATCACACCAAAAGTATCGTATGCACTACTTTAGAAATTGGTGCTGCTCCGACCAAGTCGGAACCGCACCGATATGACCACTGTAATTGCGGAAAATAGAGCGTGACTTGGCATGCAATTTGCAAGTCGCATGGCATGCAAATCTCATGCCAAGTCGCACCCAGTGCGACCGGGGTCTTAATGTATAGCTAAAGGCACAATTTGTTTTTAGTTCTGGATAGAGTGGAGATGGATTAGAACACCTATTAGGATTTGATTACTGTCTGTACCCCCATTAATGAGATTTACCCTCTCCATTTCTCCTGTTTACCATTTTCATTGAAAGAGAAAGTAAAGAAAATCACAAATTTTGAGATGTCTCCAGAAAAGTAATAAAGGGGAAATCTTCCAATGGGGACACTAGTTCTGGTGACCTGGGGGTCCCCACAGAATTCCCTTAATTTGTGGGGATTATTCTTACCTCTTTTGGTTATGGGATAGGAAGTGAAGGGAAATCTCCCCAACAAGACACGGATGGCAAATAATAACCTGGCAGGGGTTCTAACCCTCCCGTACTCATCCAAAATGAAAAAAATGTTTTACTTATTGTTCTACATTCGGGCTTCATTTACACCTATGCAGGAGTGGCGCTGCACGCTCATTTTTGCGCACTGTTTCAATGGACTGCCAAATGCGCAAAAATAGCACAAATGGAAGTGTATAATTCTTTTTTCTTTTAATTACGCCAAAACACAATTATCATGCCTTATCAAGGTGCATTGGGGGTACCATTAAGAATTAATGGCACTGACACATGCTTTCTGTGTGCTGTGGGGATCTGTTTGATTTTGCATGCATTCCTACAATATACAAATGTGAACCTAGCTATAAAGAGCAATGATGCATGGTATCCTATAGGAATCATTTCATCTTTCTTCAGTTTATAGCAGTGAGAACAAAGACAAGTGAATTCTGACTGGTTGTTTTGTGTTACTTCTCTATATCATTCTGGGTTGTAGCACTTTTACACACATTTTCATTATTCAGTTGGGCATTACAGTGCAGAGATTTGAACAGCCTCATTGAGTAATATTGCTTCTTGTGACATACAGTATGCATAGTTGCTAACATTTCAAACAAAGTTTTCTTGCTGTCATGTGTAGGTGGAGAATTTACTATAATTGAGGGGAGGGCATTCATTTAAAATTGGTGTGGTTTTACAAGAGGGATATTGTTAGCCTAATGTCATGTTTTAATTAAACGTATATAGGAGAGCTGTAGTTATCAGGGCTAAAGAATACAAAACTAAACAAAAACAACACAACACTGGTTGTAACAATAAACAAGTAAACACTAATCCCAAGGTTTTAAGGGGGAGCTGCAGACATTACAGTATGTACGGGAGAGGAGTGTGGAGGGTATGACATTGGGCAGTATATTTTAATGGAGAGTTTGGAGGGTATTTCAATGGGAAGTATGTATGTACAGAGAACAGTGGGAAGTATGTTCAGGAGAGGGTGTGGAGGGTGACATTGGAAGTATGTACAGGGAGAGGAGTGTGGAGGGTATGACAGTGGGCAGTATGTGGGAGGGTGTGGAGGGTATTCAAAAGTATGTACAGGAAAGGAGTGTGGAGGGTATGACAGTGGGCAGTATGTACAGGAGAGGAGTGTGGAGGGATTTTAATGGGAAGTATGTACAGTGGAGGGTATTTCAATAGGAAGTATGTACAGGAAAGGAGTTTGGAGGGCATGACAGTGGGAAGTATGTTCAGGAGAGGAGTGTGGAGGGTATGACAGTGGGCAGTATGCACAGGAAAGGAGTGTGGAGAATATTTTACATGGGAAGTATGTACAGGAAAGGAGTTTGGAGGGTATTTCAATGGGAAGTATGTACAGGAAAGGAGTTTGGAGGGTATTTCAATGGGAAGTATGTACAGGAAAGGAGTTTGGAGGGCATGACAGTGGGAAGTATGTTCAGGAGAGGAGTGTGGAGGGTATGACATTGGAAAGTATGTACAGGAGAGGAGTGTGGAGGGTATGACAGTGGGCAGTATGTACAGGAGAGGAGTGTGGAGGGTATGACAGTGGGAAGTATGTAAAGGAAAGGAGTGTGGAGGGTATGACAATGGGAAGTATGTACAGGAGAGGAGTGTGGAAGGTATGACATTGGGAAGTATGTACAGGAAAGGAGTGTGGAGGGTATGACAATGGGAAGTATGTACAGGAGAGGAGTGTGGAGGGTATGACAGTGGGAAGTATGTACAGGAGAGGAGTGTGGAGGGTATGACAGTGGGAAGTATGTACAGGAAAGGAGTGTGGAGGGTATGACAATGGGAAGTATGTACAGGAGAGGAGTGTGTGAAGGGTATGACATTGCACAGTATGTACAGGAGAGCAGTGTGGAGGATATGACAGTTGGCAGTATGTACAGGAGAGGAGTGTGGAGGGTTTGACAGTGGGCACTATGTACAGGAGAGAAGTATGGAGGGTATGACAGTGGGCAGTATGTATAGGAGAGGAGTGTGGAGGGTTTTTGACAGTGGGCACTATGTACAGGAGAGGAGATGAGTGTGGACCTAATGACAATGGGAAGTATGTGGAAAAGAGGAGTGTGGAGAGTATGAAAGAAGGCAGTAAATGAATGAGAGTATGATGGTGAGTATGAGAGGAATGTGGTGGGTATGATTTTGGCAGTTCCCAGAGGGGGGGATGGAAGGCATGTGTAAAAGGGAGTGCTGAGAGTATGGTGATGGGTCTTACTGTATGTGCAGAAGAGGAGTGCTGATAAATAGGAAGGTGGGAAGTATGTGTGGAGAGTATGACCATCAGATTGTATTGTGTGGCCATCTGTAGGTTTTACTGTTGTCAGCAAGGATGTCTGTCAGCTGAGGTGGGGGGAGGGGAGATGAAGCCAGCTGGAAAGGATACCTGTTTTTTGGAAAAGAGGAATGTATAAGGGTCGGGGAAAGATGTCCAGGGACTGCGTAGTGGTTATGTTGGGGACTGAGCAATGTTAAGATAATCAAGGAGGAAAGTCTGTAAAGAGATGTCTGTCAGCAGGGGGTGAGGTGTTCCTGGAGGGATATTAATCAGCAGGTGGGGGATTGGGGGGGGGGGGTAAATAGGGTTGCCACCTCATTCCTTTAAAAAAACTGAACACATATTAATTACACAGGTTCTGTGACTGATTAAGGTGGTAATTAAACTGACTTAGGCTCGGTTCACACTGCTGCAACTTGGGATCCAACTTGTGAGACCCCAAGTCGCATGACATGTGAAATCCCATGTTAGTAATGAGAGCTGTATTAATTTGCACGACTGAAGTCGCTCTGACATTAGAAAAGGTTCCTGTACTACTTCAACTTGTGCCCATAGACTTTAATGGAAGTCGCCTCCAAGTGGGATCCTAATCCATATTGATGTGATTTGGATCCGACATTACAGGAAGATTACCCGGGCATTCCCTGAAAGTTGCTTCAAAGTAATACTCAAGTCGCCTGGCAAAGTCGCAGTGTAAGTTGCGTGACTTTCAGGTTGTAGTAGTGTGAACCGAGATTTAGTGCCTTTTCTGAAATACATTAGCTTCATAACCTGTAATTAATGTGTGTTCAATTTTAAAGGGATGAGGTGGCAACCCTAGAGGTAAATGGGGAGTGATATCTGTTGGGGGGGTGGGGGTGGAGGTGTGAATCACTGTGTGGGGAATATCTATGGGTGGGGGTGAGTTATTTGGGGGAAGGATGACTTTTTCATTGGCAGTGTCTGAGTGTCTGAGGGTGACTGGGATGTTCAGTGAGGAAAATTGAGAAGGTGGGGGAAAAAGCAGCAATAGAATGGTGTCTATCAGCTGGGGATATAGGAAGTTGCTAGGATTTAGGATTGATGCCTGTCAGCAGAAGGTATGGGGAGGCCTGGGGTATGTATGTATGCTGGGGGAGAATTGACTGATGAATGACATCTGTCATCTATGGGTTGGGAAATTGTTGGTCAATGATAAGTTGAGGTGGTAACATTGGAAGTGGCTGGGGAGTGACATCCTGGGTAGTGGGGAGTGTGAAATAGAGGATGTGTGGCAGCATTTATCTCTTTCACATCTGTGGTAATTTATTTATTTTAGTTTTGGGTACTTATATAGTGCTGTCTATTTACGCAGCGCTTTACATATATATTGTACATTCACATCAGTTCCTAACCCTCAAGGGGTGTACAGTCTAAGGTCCCTAATTTACATTCATACATACTAGGGCCAATTTAGACAGGATCCAATTCACCTACCAGCATGTCTTTGGAGTGTGGGAGGAAACCAGAGAACCCTGGAGGAAACCCACACAGGCACAGGGAGAACATGCAAACTCCAGGCAGGTGCTGCGGTTGGGATTTGAACCAACGACCCTAGTACTGTCAGGCAGAAGGGCTAACCATTTAGCCACTGTGCTGCCTGGTAATGCTTATAAAAGCAATCTGTTGTTGATCACTTTTCTGGGGGAGTATTAGTAGCAGCTGAGACACATTTAAGGGGTGCTACCACCACCTCCTGATGCATTTTTTTGTTTTTTACTTTTTTGCCGAATGACAATTTTACATTGTGGGATTGAGCTGCAATTGTGAGCCAAGCATTTGCCTTGCAGTTGCAGCCCCATTCAGCTCAATGAGTGAGGCAATTAACAGGCAATGCTGACTGTCAAACTCTTCAGTTTTAAACATGCCACAGCTGCAAAGTAAAGGATGATTGGGTGTACAGCCAGGGATGACGGTAAAAAACCATGGTTCAGCAGCCCCCCTTAGAGGTGGTGTACAGAAATGGCTGGGGAGAGGTGTATCCACTGACCCCTGAGCTGCAGTGCCACCCACATAACTGAAGCTGGCTGCATAGTACACAGTCATCCTTGTCTACTGTCACTTGCAAACCCCCAGCCAGCTCCTGGCACATTCATCCCTGCCTCTCTGAATTCCTAACTTTCTGCAGCTTCATTCAGCTTCCCTCCACACTCACTCCCTCCAGCTGTAGCCAATCTCCGTTCAAGCTCTGCATCCAGCACTGGAGTTGACAGAGCACAGGTGTGGAGGGTGGCAGAGCAGAGGATGATTCCTGGTGGGGGAGAAAGAGGAAAGTAGTTTCAGGACCTGGCAGCATAAAAGCAATCTCCTCTAGGCACACAGGCAGAGCTTGCCCCATGTGTCTGTTATTTTGACATGTGTGCAGGAGACACCCAGAACACTTGACTGTCTGTGATTTTTCGATCACAGCCCAGGACAAGGAACTGTCAGGACATCATAAGAAAATCCGTGAGTGTCCCGGACAAATCGTGACAGTTGACAACTATGCATAGTATTTTTTTTTAGTGCACGCAAGGTGTCAGCAGGGCCTTAGGAGTATAGTACTGGGACCATTTTTCTTTTAACACATACTTTCTGGTACAATAGATAAATGCCAGTGTCAGTACTGATATTTTGTCAGCCCAAGGAGGAACAGTGAACAGCAGGATCAACCAGGTTTTTGGCAATCTACAGAAAAGGAATGCTCCAGTGAAAAAGTGAGTATGAACTCAATGAGGGAGATTTACTAAGACTGGAACACACAGAATTTGGTGCAGTTGTGCATAGTAACAGGTCAGTATCTATGTTTTATTGTGAAAACTTAATTGAACAAGCTGAAGTTAGAAGCTGATTGGTTACTGCACAAATTCTGTGTGCCCCCAAATGTAATGTAACAGGTACGGACAGTTTATAATGATTTGGGTTAATGACACTTTAATACAGCAGCCTTTGTTTTTCTGCATAACATGTAAAACCGTTTCATTATCTGGTGATCCTGCCAATAAGTCTGTTGTTTTTTCAACTTACATCAAAAGCCCAAGCTGTCCAGCACAAGTGGCATTTAAAGGGATGAGACAAACCATTTAACACTGACAGGGATGCCTAAAATGAAACTTTTTTTTTCCATTTATGTAAAACCTTTATCTCAAGGGAAAATAAAGACTTGCTGTAACTGCCTAACTGTAGTGTTAGCTGCAGTTGAGTTTGAATTTTCTACTCACTTATGTACAGTCCATTTAAATCTACTAGCCCATGTAACTCTACCCTAGATGCAGTGGAGAAGTGAATGTAACCACTCTAAGACAGTAGGTGTGTTACTGACCGATCACCAGGTCAAAGTAAAGGAATAAAAGCCTAAAAAAGAAAATTAATGTTGCCACCACATCTAATGCTTGCTAAGCTACAATATATTAAAATTCTTTGTGGGGTTTAGTTATGCCTTAAGGTAGGTCACTGTTGTGATAATGGCACAAACATAGACAGCATTGTGCATTGACCCTAATGGGAGTCACTAATTGTATCATATTTTTTAGATACTCATTCTTAGTCACGAATTCTAGAACAACTGAACATATGCAAAATAAACTGATCTTTTATTGCGATGACTAATCATTCTCTAGGAAGAATATCCTGCTTTTTTATAAGAAAAACAGTTCATGTTTGTCTGCTCTAAGACACGCTTGTACAAGTAGAATTTACAGGTTCTGAAGCAGTGGCTCATGTCTACCCAGATTCTTATCTACAGATAGTGGGCTCCGTCCTGTACCTTGGGGTGACAATACAATTGTCGCTATGCTCTTATCTTACTAACAGTACGCTTCCTCTAGTGCCCCTCCTGCAGGCTAAGGTTGGGCAATGGATGGATCTTCCATTAGATTTAGTGGGCAGTGTAAACCTCAACAAAACGATTTTCCACCTCAGATTTCTTTATGCACATGTAGAATTGCAGAGTTGCCAACTGTCACAAATTGCAAGGAATGGTCCCAGATTTTAAAGTCCTATCACGACCGGTCTTCGCCCCGGGCTCCATCCCGAAAATAGGAAATATTCCCAGATTGTATGTCCCCTGTCGCGGCTCGGTCCCCCCCCTTTTACCTAGGGCAGCGTGAGCAATGAAGGTAAGTGCTGTGGTGGTGGGACATATTTAGTGCATGTATATGTAGCATGTGTGACTGTAGTAAGAATGTCTGCTTGTATGTTTAGCCACTGTTTGTAAATTTAGGGACATTTGTAAATTGTTCCTTCCCTTGCGCCGTGTCCGCAGTCTCTGTCCGTCGTGTCCGCAGTCTGTGTCCGCGTGTCCGCAGTCTCTGTCCGTCCCTCGCGCCCGTGTCCGCAGTCTCTGTCCGTCCCTCGCGCCGTGTCCGCAGTCCGTCCCTCGCGCCGTGTCCGCAGTCTCTGTCCGTCCCTCGCGCCCGTGTCCGCAGTCTCTGTCCGTCCCTCGCGCCGTGTCCGCAGTCTCTGTCCGTCCCTCGCGCCGTGTCGCAGCTGCCGTCCCTCTCTGTCCGCAGTCTCTGTCCGTCCCTCGCGCCGTGTCCGCAGTCTCTGTCCGTCCCTCGCGCCGTGTCGGCAGTCTCTGTCCGTCCCTCGCGCCGTGTCGCAGTCTCTGTCCGTCCCTCGCGCCGTGTCGGCAGTCTCTGTCCGTCCCTCGCGCCGTGTCGGCAGTCTCTGTCCGTCCCTCGCGCCGTGTCGGCAGTCTCTGTCCGTCCCTCGCGCCGTGTCGGCAGTCTCTGTCCGTCCCTCGCGCCGTGTCGGCAGTCTCTGTCCGTCCCTCGCGCCGTGTCGGCAGTCTCTGTCCGTCCCTCGCGCCGTGTCGGCAGTCTCTGTCCGTCCCTCGCGCCGTGTCGGCAGTCTCTGTCCGTCCCTCGCGCCGTGTCGGCAGTCTCTGTCCGTCCCTCGCGCCGTGTCGGCAGTCTCTGTCCGTCCCTCGCGCCGTGTCGGCAGTCTCTGTCCGTCCCTCGCCGTGTCGGCAGTCTCTGTCCGTCCCTCGCGCCGTGTCGGCAGTCTCTCTGTCCGTCCCTCGCGCCGTGTCGGCAGTCTCTGTCCGTCCCTGTCCGTCCCTCGCCCGTGTCGGCAGTCTCTGT